CCCCCCACCATCTGCAACCAGCCCAGCGATAACCACTGAGCCACTGCTGGTAGCTCCCTGGGCTCCTGAGCTGGGGCAATGGGGAGCCAAGGGCCTCAGCCACACCCCCCTGACATCTGCAACCAGCCCAGCAATGACCACCAAGCTGCCACAGGAAGTGCCCTGGGCTCCCAAGCTGGGGTGGTAGGGGGCCGAGGGCTTCAGCCACACCCCCCTGACATCTGCATACAGCTCAGCGATGACTCTGCTGCCACTGGAAGCCCCCTGGTCTCCCCTTCCAAAATGAGGGGGGAGCCATGGGCCTCGATCATGCTCTACTTTCTTCCCCCTCTTCCTACCCTATTTCCCCCCCTCCTTCCCTTCTCCTTCTCCCTGCCATCTGCTCTACAACAACATCTTAGAATGAGGCATGGTGCTGGGGAAAACCAAACCCAGCTGCAACTAAGCAAGCTGCCACGATGGCCCTGGGGCCCCAACTGGGTCTTGAAGAGTGGAGCTGGCAGAAGCCAAGCCCAGCTGCAACTAGGCAAGCTGCCACCACTGCCCTGGGGCCCAGTCGGGGGCCTCAGGTGTAGAGCTGGAGGAAGCCAAACCCAGCTGCAACCAGGTAAAGACTACACCAAAAACGCCATTTTCACATGGGTAGTCCACCAGAGCTACTGCAATTGCTATGGCTGCCACGAAAGTGGCTAGTCTCTATGGCAGCAGTCACCGTGCAGAAGGCACACCAGACTCAACTACACTGACACAAGGAGAGGCACCAGCAGAGGCCAAAAAAAAAAGAAGTGGTCCTCTCTCTCCACAAAGCACACTCCAGAGTAATAGAAGAAACATCTGATTTATGATAATAGGGGAGGACTTGATCACACATGTCTCAGTACTGGACAAATTATCTAGGCAACAAACCAACAGAGGAACAGTTAATCTATCAGATGGAGAGAACAAATCCATGGTTATTAGAGGAGGAGAGGGGGAAGGGGAGAGAATGGATAAGGGGCATAAAGAATAAGTATGATTCGTAACAATGAATATGCTAATAAAAAAGAAAAACAAACAAACAAAACAAATCGATTGGAGCAGATTATCTAGCAGTGAACGAGGGATTAAATATTTTTAAAGCTTCCAAGGATATTTTTATGTGTAGCCTATTTGGGGAAGTCACTCAAAGGAAGGACAGGTATGAGAATGGCTGCCTGAGCACATGATTTTTCCTCTCTCTATCCTCTCAAAATTTCTGAAATGACTGAACATAAAAGGATGACAATATCCATAGCAGTACTGGAAACAAGGAAGAGTTCCATTGGTAAACCAGAACACTAAGGAATTTCTGGGAATATCTAAAGCAGATAAAATCAGTAAAACCCCAAACTGCTAAAGAGCCTGAAATGGACACGATCATTACATTGTAAGTAAGTGTTTCCAGGAGAGCCTCAGAATATTCCCTAACTCAGGCAGCAAGTGTTGGGAGCAGATGTGAGTCAATCATCTAGGTAATTACAGAAGGACTTAGTAACAATTTGACAGCCTTATTCTCAGAGTGGCTAATTCCTGAACTGTCCCCAGGTTGAAAATGATAAGGAAGAAGAAGGGTAGTACTCTAGGAAAGTTCTGGTGGCCAAGATGAACAGGTAGCCCCAATTCCCAGGAGGCAAGTTTCTTGTGCTCATACTAAAGGAAAGCCCAACTGAGTAGATATCCTTTCCCTCCCTACTACGTCTTCTGCTGACAGAGATCCTGTACTCATAATTTATATTCACAGTGATTTTTAAAAATTTATGTTAGGGGAACAAATCCATCTAGTCCCTCACTTATAAATATGAACTGCCAGCCAAAAATCATAGAAATAAAGAAACAAAGAAAGAAAGAGCATTTTTGTTGTTGTTCTTTTGTTTTATTTAAAGAACAAATACAGATACTAACTCTAAGGAAAAAAGTAAATTCTAGAAATCAAACAAAATGTTGTCTCCTTAAAAAAGAAGAGAACAAAATGCTAGAAAAAAACATATGCAATCAAACTACTTGGAAATTAAGATCATGAGAGCTAAGAAAAACAAAATAACCAGACAAATGGCACCTTGGAAGAGAGCTGAATAATGAAATGAATATGTCTGAAGGATGAATTAGATATAACTGCTGTCCTTGATTAACCACAGAATATTTCTCCCAGGGTGATCATCATAAAATGTACTTTGATAGGCCCCTCCAGTACCACACGGGGTAGAGGAAGGCCTGTGGTTAGTGTGGGAGTGATGGGAAGGAAAGGGCTGGGATTTTATTGCAGGTCCCCACAGGATGAATCTAGTGAGTCCACCTTGCAACCTCTTCATCAACTTTGCCCAGGTTGTGCCCACTACCTGGAATGCCAAGTACCCTCTCTTTGCCAAGGCCTATTCTTCACTTACAGGTCAGCCCAAGTACCATCTCCCTCTGGGAAGGCTTTCTTGACCTCCCTTTCCTGGGCTGACTTACATTCCCCTCTATGCTCTTCTAATATCCCTACATATCACTACAACTAAGTTTAACACACTGTATTATAAGTACCTATTTGTGTTTCTGTCTTCCTCATTAGACTATGAATGCTCTGAGATATACTTAACCAGAAGCACTATTTCTATTCAGATGCATAGACATGGATATTTGGCATTTATTCACTAAATGTATCTTGCATGCTGACTAGTAGAACTAAATGCACTGTTCTAATACTTGTAGAAAAATGTACAAAAAGGATCTGTCCCCCATGCTCAAGATTAATCCACCATTAGATATAGGCACCCATTCATCCCATGTTGGAGCTTTCTAAATTCCATAGGGTACCATCACATTTTGGAACTTTCTGAATTTCCACCAAGTACCCTATAGTTGATGCGAATAGAACACTAAGAATCCAACAGTTTGGTCAAAACCTAGGAAGTCTTACAGTAAAATAGACAATATATTTTTGTCCCCCCCAAATGGGTATACAATTGGATATTTTCATTTGCTGGATGTTATCTGAGGGTTCTACACAGGCAGTACTAAAAGGCCCTAACTTTTGGCTTTATTCTGCTGTTCCTAGTCTTCTTGACCTATGTCACCCCTGGGCCACTGAACTGTAAAACCTGGCAACTCTATTATGCCAGGACATATAACAGGGCAACGGGGCCCTGAATATATACTACATTTATCACTACCCGTTATCTGATAGCCCAACTATCTGAGATATTTATGTCTTGAACGAAAAACTGTTTTCAAGGCTCACTCTCTGATTTTCCCCCCTCAGACCCAAAGTATTTGCTATACCACCTTCTAGACTACATGGATCAACAGAAACAGAGCAGAAAATGTACTTTGCCTCAAAAACGGATTGTTTGAAACACTACAAGAAGATATAGGGGCTAAGCCCCTGTAGAAACACTGAGAAAGCAATCAATAAAAGAATAAAAGCCTTGAAATTTTCAATTTTTTGAGAAATCATGCTTTGTAAAAAAGTGGTAAATATTAACCCCATTAATTTTATCTTTATTTAACTCGGTGGATAAAACTCCTTTCTGGGTTGGAAAAAAAATTCTCCAGATACAAGCAACCCAAACCAACTCCCTACAGAGGGAGGAGTTTAGGAGTTCAGAACTTTGGGTATCCTGGGGACCTGGGAACATCATAACCCCTATATACACAAATTTATACCTCTCTTTAAATTGCTCCCCATAAACAAGACAAGAAGCAAAAGAATTAATGAGTTCCACCATAGGTTGCAGGAATCAAGGGTATATGTAGCACCTTAAACAGTTAATATTTCACACATTGTAAGAATGAGAGACTTTCTTCAAGGAGTTGTTACTGGTTTGTAGGTAGAGATTCCCTAAAGGAAATTGAGTATCCCTTCCATTACCATTGAAAAGAAATCCTACCTCAAGACAGAAGGCAGCTGGAACACTGCATTCAATGCAAACTGAGAAGAACATAAAAAGTCTACAAAAAATCTTTAATATTTTTTCCACAGAAGAGAAAAAAGAGAAAGATTATGCATATTTTCTTTGAAATAATGCCCTATATGCAAAGCTCAACATTTTGAGATAATCTCTGTCATTTAGAGATGTAGCACAGGATGATGGGGTTAACACTTAAGTCTGATGGAGGAAGAAAAAGATGTGAACAGAAAATGCACAGAAACTAAGTTAGTTTTTAATAATCAGAAGCACAGACCTAGAGTTCAGGAAGAGATATGCCCCAACCTTTATTTTTACCCTCTATATAAAAGCAGGTTCAAAGAGGTGAAGTGAAACTAAAGAATGGAGGAGTAGTTATAAAGAGTAGTTCAAACTAAGTGACTAGAGGGAAGGAGGAGAAGGAAAGATTAGGGAAGAAGTAAAGGTCCTTTTGCATTGAGAAGTCTGACTGTATGTGTCAGCTCCAGTTCTGAAACCTTCCACTGAATGAGAAGACACTAAATCTTTGACACTGAATGAGACATTATTACAATATAAAGGATGATATGCTTTAAATCTTTGGAAAACAAAATTTATACATTTATATATTCTAATATACTGTCTCTTAGAAGCATTAATTCTAAGTAGGAATACTAAGTTAGAAGGCAGTTATGGCCTAATTAGCAAGCAGTTTGATGACAAATATAGCCTGCTGTATTAAAACTGCTTAGTAGCCATGCAAATTATAGATGATAATTTATGAAGGAAATTCTAATTCAATTGATCTGTGCACTGAATGTCAAACAAAGAACAGCAAAATATACGTTGAAATTTCCATGTATACACATTTTACAGAACAACTCTAAAAGTATAATTATATAAAAAGCACGTGCTACATTAATTTCATCATTTTAGCATTAAAGGCAATGCATACAAGAGCTTCATTTTTCCACAAAGAACTTTGTCATATAATTTTCCAATTTAAAAGCTCCCATGTCAATAAAATTCTCCAAGGTATTTACAATCTTAATGTAAAGCGTTAGAACTCACACAATCAAGTTATCAATAAATGACAAGTTGAGAGCCTCCACTTACCTAGATATATTGTTGAAGCTGAGAAACAGACGTTGGAGGCAGGGCAAATTATCCACATCTCTCTAGAAGGAAACAGAAAGCAAAAATTTACCAGTTGAAAAAAATTCATAAATGCCTTCTTGCTCAGTTGTTGAAATATATAGTCATTTCTTTTTACTGTGACCTTGCTACACCATTGATTTCTGCTGGACATTGAGCTCCATTCTTCTCCACTGCAGATTAAATGGGAGGGTTTCAGAACATCTGCAGAACAAGCTGCACCACTCGCAAGGTAAAAAGCACTGAAGAGACAGGGAGAGACGCTGCTGCTAGCCTCTTTAAGCATGCTTTTGGGAAAGACGCCAAAATGCTACTTCAGCATTTCAAACGTAGCACACATACAGTACGATTAAACGTTTGTTAAAAATCACTTTTAAAAGGAAGCTGTTCAGAAGCTTTAAATTTTAAATTTATACAATTAGCCTTCCAAACAATAGTGAGAATTTCCAAGCTATTTATCTCACTATTTTCAAAACCCTTGGAAATATACTGCTCAGTTACAAATGAACCAATATACCAACAATTCTCCCCATAAAACTAAAGTGTCACTGAAGGGTACTGTAAGGGCAATTTCCAATCGAATCACATATCAGAGGTTCTTACAACCGAAAATCTACCCTGTCATATTTACGTACAGCACACCAAAACCACACTACTGCTATTTAAAAATAGTTACTCTTAGCAAATACTGACATTTAGGCCTAAATGATTTTTTAAAATCACAAAACAAATACAAGCAAAGCTACCTAATTTCATTAAGCGAAAAAACACAAAACTCCTGAAAAGTATGACATACACAGGAATAACAGAATTTTAAGAGGAAGTTTATTAAGGTTATTACTTAAAAGAGGAAGCTTTTAAGTAATAATCTAGTCTACAATCTCAATATTCACATGAGAAAACGTGAACATGTGTGGCTGTCGCAGAGTAAGAACAAGGGTAGGGTGGGAAGGTAGCTCAGGAGTACACATTTCTCATTTAAATGTTTTTCATTTTTAAGGGAAATATCATTTACAGTAATACCCAGTTATATGAGTTTGAATAATACAAATAAAAGTATATAAATTTTACATATTATTGTGACCAAATATTTAAACCTAATCAAAACGTGTTTTATTGTTTCCATAAGTAATCATCTTTCTTCCCCCCTTTTAAAACTATTTCCAAGTCCTCAGTAACAGTTAAGGCAAGTGCATTAAAATTATAGACAAGCCTACCTTTTCCCAAAATGCTGCATGTATTTATTTAAAAAATCTTGTCAAACAAAGAAAATATAAAAGTGATAAAATTGTGGCAGAGACACTTCTTAATGGTTTTGAGAGAGCACAGGAAAAATGAATCTGCTTAAGACGTTCTCCAACCTTCCCTGCATACCATCCTCCAAATTTCTCTTAACCCCTTAGACCCTAAACATTGGAAAATGAATACAATTGCCCATAATCAAAATGCTGGCTATGTATACCATTCACTTGACGTTACCACTCTCAGGCCCACCCCTGAAAAGCCTGTTCCACAGATACGGGGTAGAGATTTTTAGAACTTTCCACGGTCAAGGCATCTATCTGCAGAAAACAGGATGGCATCCAAATTTCCCTCAATGGGTGACAGGCTTTATATGTTGCCAGACTTCTTAAATCTCTTCCAGATACCTCTCTCTGATATTCCCACAAATGGAGAAGTGAGTGATAGATAGTGGTAGGGCTCATTTTATTCCAGAGCCCTATTTTCCAAAGGAAATGGCAGCGTGCTTCCTATTTCGTCTCTAGAAACATGAAGTTACAGCCAAACTGAAAGACCTCTTTGTACTCTTGGGGAATCTCTTCCAAATTCTTCATGGAATCTACATGAGACAGTTCTGGGCATGAGCATTGTTACCGACACCCAACTGGGATAAACTGAGAGGTAGTAGCCTGGATCTCCTTTGAGTCAAGGTGTCTTTAAAAAAAAAAAAAAATACATTGTCTCTTTGAGCTCTGGCATACCACCTTCAAGATACAATTTTCTTGCTATTAAAAAAAAACCAAGCCTCAAATTACACCAGGCTATAATTTATGAGAAAAGGTTTTTTAAAAGTTCATTTGATAAAATTATAATGCTTTGTTATTTATCTTCACTTATGAAACAAAATTTTACCAGTAGTCTTTATCAAATTTTCAAAAACATTAACTGTCATCACCTGATAGAGTTACAAAAAATATTCACAACAAATTGAAAAACTAAAAATCAGCATTCAACTACATATATCCTTATAACCGCTTACATAGATAGCGTATGTTAAAATGCAGAATAATTACCCACAATAATTTTTGTTGTTACAAATTTCATGTCTGTAAGAAAATAAAATTTCTTTAATTTTTCTAGCAATTCTGAGATATATTTTTGTAATAAAATCCTAGCATTACAATAGACAAAAAGAAAACATATATTCATCATATTAATTATCTATGCATGAATTATTTACAGAAGAAAGACTTGTTAAAAACTACTAGAAGATGACTCTTCTGGGCCGGCCCGGTGGTGCACTGGAGAGTGCGCCGCTTGGGAGCGCGGCGGCGCTCCCGCCGAGGGTTCGGATCCCATGTGGAGACTGGTTCCCGCTCACTGGCTGAGCGTGGTGCGGGCGCAACACCGAGGGTTGTGATCCCGTTACCGGTCAGTAAAAAAGACAAAAAGGAAAAAAAAAAAGATGACTCTTCTAATATGAGAGGGTAAATAAAAAATAGAAAATATATAAGATCCAGGGAGTGGGATTCACCATCCAAGAAAGACAAAGAGAAATCCAAGGATGATATCAGTATAGCAGGGCTAACAGCAACCAGTCTCCATTAGAGAGAGAGGACAGAAGGCTTTAGAAAGGGTAATGCCAAGGGGTAAAAATGAAATGTAGATTGTCTGTTGTCTTTGTCCATATGGAGAAGAATTTTAGAGTGCTGTTGGAGAGTTTGGTTGTTAATTAATGATAGTTAAACAGAACCCCCAATTAATGGGGAAAATGAGACAGTCATTAATCCCAGGGAAAACAAAAGTTTAACATCATGGTCTAAGACTCACTTTGAAAACCTCACCTTGCTGTGTCCACCAATTCTAACCTATTATATTACAAATGTATCAATTTTAATTAAGCCACTGTATTGAAATACTGACACTAAACCAAAACCCCAAGAAATCTCAAAAAGAGATCTGCCTTTATCCACAAAAATATGACCAAAACTATGTTGATGATTTGTGCTTTTACTTACCATTAAGTAAAAACATTTTAGTTTTGCTTTATCAACAGGTTATTCCAGTGGTATTTTGGGGGAGCTAGCATTCAACAATCTGCTTATCCCCAAAACATGATATAATATTTTGGAATGATGGGAAAAGGAGAAATGGGGGTTAGGGATAACAGAAGTAAGCCAAATCCTCATCTCTGGGAAAAAGTCAACCCATTTATTTTACTGTCAAGCATTAAAAACACTCCCAACACTTCTTTTCTGGAAGTAACTATTTCATAGGCAGAGAAACTATTACAAAGCAGCTAGAATATTAACATACCTAAGGTGAGAAAAAGATGAAATAAAGTATTTACATATAGTGGAATATGGATAGCTCATCTGTTATTAATCTGCTCATTCTTTTAGATTTATAACATTAAATAACATATAATTCTGAAATCACATTTAAAACATTTTTGTAGTAAGATTCAAAACCATTTGATATAATTCGAAAATATGATCCTTTTTAAAAAGACTTAAATAAAATTATTTACTACAAGATTGTGAGAGAATTATAATTCTTTACTTTTCAGAAGAATAATAAATAATCACATGAAAAACATGCTTGTCCTACTCTGCTCTGACACTTTTCCATATTTCCACTGCATAAAAAAACTAAATGATTCAGCAATTTGACCATGTGTGGAACATCTATTACCCGAGCTATTTTTAGAGCAGCTTCCTACAGAGGAAAAGGAAGAAGAAAGGTGAAGAGATAGGGAGTTTGGCATGTATCAAGTGGGAAAAGATGACTATAATAAAATCACAGCTACTGTCATTTTTGTTACCTAGTCTATGTCATACAAAAAAAAAATATATATATATAGGGGTAATTATTATAATTTTGAGAACCTCAAATGGACGTATTAACACAGCATTGAACAAGTTTGAAAACAAAAAAGAAGTACTACTTTTAATAAAAATATTTATTAAATTATTTCTGAAATAACTACGTGTTACAGTCATCACTTTGCAACACAGACATGTACTAGATGAGGAATAACAGGTGTAAGTCATCGATCAGTAACTCTAATCATGTTTAAATGCCACTGAAAGAAGACCATTAGCTGGCTCTGTTACCCAAAGGCATTAATACTGGTATGCTTATCTGCTTTTTCATTTGTTTACTACTCATTACATGGCAATAGATATGAGTCAGTCCAGCTGCATCCTACTCTTGCAGCCTGATTTTCTTCTACACACTTTCGTACCCCCTGCTCCTACACAAAGAAAAAGCTAAAAGGGAACTAAAACCAGACTAGTAAGTGGGCACTGATAGGCTGACTAACTAGAGATTTCCAGTCTTTATAATTCAGGAGGGCTAGGTTTACCAGCTATGAGGAAAAGGACAAAAAGCTTTCATTTCACAATCACAGGCCTTCCCTCTCTCAAATTTGTATATAATTCAAATTTACAAGTCAGGCATGATCTAAGAAGACCTCATAAAAAATGGTCCCTAGCATTCATTCTCCTAAGACTCCTGGCAAAACTGTCTGGAAACACACCAACTCAACTCAGGATTCACAGCATTCTGATTCTTCCAAACAACTAATTTATAAAGAAAAACTTACCATGAGTAAGTGTCAGCAGAAATTTCAGGCAACAAACTGCCCAAAACGAAGAAAATATAATAACTCAATAAAGACTATGGGATATTTATGTTTAAAATTATTAGAGAAATGAAAGAAATAAAAACATAAGAAAAATGAGGTGCTAGAAATAAAGAAACCTGGGCATTCATGAAAAAAGTCCATACAGAACATCTA